CCTTGGTAGGCCTTCTTTTGAGCAAACAACCTACAATATTTAGGTGGCGAAAACGCCATGACAATATCTTGGCCGTAAAAGCCATTGTTGAAAAGCACACTTTTTTAAAAATTGTTTTTTTGTAAAGTATTTTCGTCAATGGCTCTTGTCTTTAGTTAATATGGGCCTTCATGCCGCGATAATACGACTGAGCCCGCTGATACACGAGAGAGAGCAGCGGTATAAACCATATATGGTCTGGTGAGTAGCCTCTGTGACCCCCCCTTTGAAAACTCCTGGCTACGCCCCTGAACATTGTGTGGTACATTCATTCATCAGTTTAGACGGCGCTCATTCCGAAGTCCGCACGCGCTGTTCCGAAGTAGGAAGTGAATGACTTGAATCCTGAAACTTGTCTCTAGTTTTGCGAAACAAAAACTTGTGGAGCAGAAACAGTGTTCTTGGTCGGATGTTACTAAAACGGGGAACGGGGAGCGGGGAGCGGGGAGCGGGGAGCGGGGAACGGGGAACGGAAGTCTGGGAACGAGTTGTCAGCGGAAACCTCCATAAAAATCCAATATGGCCGATGATCGATGATAGAGAACCGTCGAAACAAACTTAACCGACAACGGCGTTATTTTACTTGAACTATATGCTCATGAGGTGCTTGAAATAATACGGAGGTAATAAGTTCATGACGTTTTTCACCTTTTTGCGTTTTACTAAACAATTATCCGTAGGAAACAAAATATGCTCCAACAGCAGTTGAAAGAAGCCAATCGGGACAAAAAGTCTCAAAGCACATGTACAGCCATATTTGGAACTCAAGCGAATCTATACTGAGTCTAGCCCACAAAGCAATGAACTACTTTTCCATGATAGATAACATACATCGAAGTAGTCAAGTAGCTTGTGTGCAGACTTCTTCTGTTTCCTTTGATAGAGATGACTGCTTTGAAAAATGTTATTGACCACGTCATCACATAATTAGTAAGACTACTTTAACAATCTGGTTCTGCTTTTAATATTATTAGATCCACTACACTGCAAGCATTCACGATATTGAAGTGTTTGACTGATCCATGAAAATAAAATAATATCATTTTATTATTTTGTAAAACAATTTGTTTCAGGTCAGTTTGCCCAGTATAGACCAGTATAATGACCCTAATGGAACCTAATTCACTCATTTTCCTCACCCTAATCAGTAACGGCTTCAAAGTCATACAGTGGCCATTTGTCTTTCTGCAAAATACCCCTGACGACCCTTTCCTGAATCAAAACCATTGGATTGCATTGAATGCAACATTCTCACTCACTGCAGATCCTCAATTAACCCCCCGCCCCCCTAAGAATGAGATCCCAAACCCCTCCCTTTTGAAGAAAAATGTCGTAAAATAATCAAAGTACCTCTTCATGGGCACGAAACGTTTGGTGCAATTCATACCATACAATATCGCTGTATCAAGTACTGTTCTCGGTGCAGGAGGAGGGGGTACTATAATGGCCTAAACAGAGCCTGAAGCCTTTTTCAGGCTTCAGGTACATGAAAGGGAAGGGGTTTTTATAGTTGAAGTATATGAAAGGGACCAAAATGAGATCAGTCACAGATGCATTTTATGGATGTGAGAGACAAGAAAACCTGTTTTAGCTATTTATTCATATTGTAAAGATGGTGTATTTACAGCAGTTAAAGAGGGATGCAGAGTTCAAAATATAGGTATGTGAAAGGGGTACCATGTGTCACTAGAGGGTATACAAAAGGGGTACCTTTTCTGTCTAAAATGGTACATACAAAGGGTAAAGGGTTGGTCCCTGGGGCAGAGCCTCTTTGGTGAGTACCCCCCCCCTCCCCTCTGGGTTACTGTTACTCTAGTCTGATTCTTCTCTTTAATTTCTTTGATACTGTGCTTCATTAAATGAATTAAAATTCATTTAAAAGCTTCTTGCCCCTTTTTTGAAAACCCCGATATGTTACAAGAAATTATGTCCCCTGGGGGGGAAATAAAATCAGGGAAAATGGGTAGCAAGATCTATTGTGTTATTTTACATGCACTGAGTAAGCGTAATGTGGCCACTATACACATACAGTTGAGCGTATTTACTGAAAAACATATGGGCACTCCAATCTTTTGCCTCCCATCACTTATGTGAGACCTTAGACTCTTTATTTCCAAAACTACAGACAGCTTGCTTGAAGGCTTATCAACCACCTTCTAATAAGCTGCCAACCTCTGCAACATTGATGATGTGATGCTTGATGGTAGGTGCACTGCAATATTACTGAATCAAGCTAATAAAGCAGCTTGACAA